TAATGTGCATGATTGAGTCACTATGCAGTGTGTACTGGATGGGAGATCACATTTTGTGTGCTGTGATGATGCTTAGGGAAGGAATGTAAATTGAGTTAAAAAAAAAAGAAAGTTTCAGGAAAAACAAATATATCTATTCAATGACTGCAGTAGGATATGTAGCCCCAGCTAGGTGCTACTTTATAGGATGCGTCAAGTTAGACTTATGTTCATGGAAATGTGTGTGTCACCTGTGTTTGCTATGAGGGTATTTGGATTGATTAGGGTCTTTGGTGATTCAATAAAATGTTGGGGGAAAACAGTATAGAAAGCAAACATATGTATCAGAGACAGTGTGGGAGGAGAGTGGGAGATGGCAGAGGGTAAGAGATAGGGAATCAATGATGGGGGGGAAGCAAAACATACAGAAAACAAGAAATGGAAGATCATTTGCTGACAATAACATGTTTGTTGATGTGCTTGATTGAGACAATATACACTGTACTCTGGATGGAAAATCTCATTTTGTATGCTGTAATGATGTGCAGTGAATGAATGCAAATAAATAAATTGAAATTAAAAAAAAAATCGTAAATCTTAAAACCCAGAAGACTTCAGAGAAGCTGAGAATTTGATCCTAAAATTCACATGGAAATACAGAAGAGAATGGCCAAAATGACTTTTAAAAAGAAACGTTGGGGGACCAGCAGATGACGTAATGGTTACATGTTGGACTCCCACGTGGTTGACTGGGGTTCAAGTCCCGGACCCAGCGGCTTGCAAGTCACACTGGCCATTTGTGTGTATGTAGTGTCCAAGATCCCGAGAGGAGAATGGATAAGAAAGGACTATGGTGTGGCCATCCTCCTAGAGTTTGATTTCTTGCTATCTCTCTGGCAAGCACACATACCCTACGGCAAAAATTGCTTTCTCTCTCTCTCTCAAAAAAAAAAGGAAAGTTGGAGGACTTAAGACTTCTCAAATTCAAAACTTACTACAAAACTACAGAAAATAGACCACATCGTAAGCATCGGACAGACATCGATAAATGGAATAAAATGCAGAAATAAATCCTGAGATTTGCAGTTGTCAGTAAAGAACCAGAATCCAAATATATAACTCTTACAACTTAAAAATACAAAAACTCCAAGACACAGCTCAAAAAAGATACACAAATGGCAAGTACACACACACACACACAGAAAGCTTAACATCATTAACCATCAGGAAAGTGCAAATCACAACCATAACAAGGTAGCACTTCAGGCTCACAACAATGGCTATAATCAACAAAGCAACCATGGAGGTAGTG